ATTAATAAGTTAGTAGGTGTACAAGATTACCACTAACTCAGGTATAAGTGTTGTAATCAACTTATTTTGTTTAAGGTGATGAAGGACTGGTAGTTCAATTTTTTCACAATCATATGAAAAGAGCTGATTTTTCTATTACATTTCACATATCCTTGCTTTCCCAAAAGTTGTTCCCATCCAGGGTGGACTGTAGTTTTGACCTCACATAGGTCTTATCAACATCTGATTTACTGGTAGACTTAAAAACCTACTTACATAACCAAAAAGTTCAGTTGTTGATTGCTATTGCAAGTATAAATTTGTTTCATCCACAATCCCAACACAGAATGTGCTCTGTGGCCCAAAGGTACTCGGTACAATGTGGCGAAGTGATTAGCATGTCAAGCTTGCACGCTGCGCTACCATGGCTCGACTCCCGCTTTTGGTTTTGATACTACCTTGGTGAGGTCGAAACTGTAGTCCACTCCAGCCGGTACGAAGAAAAACCTTTGGAAAAGTAAGGCTATGTGAAATTTAACGGAAACTTAGGCTCCACTCATATGATTGAGGGAAAATTCAACAGTCAGTCCTTCATCATCTTAACGAAATAGGGTGAGCACAACAGATATATGTAAATTTAAGCCTAATAATGGTTGGCATTCTTCACAATTCCGTTTTTACCTCGCCTAGGTAGTATCAACACCTAAAGCGGGAGTCGAGCCATGGCAGCGCCGCGTGTAAGCTCGACATGCTAACCACTCCGCTACATTGCTACGAGTGCCTTTCGAATAATACCATCAATATGAATTTTCCATATTTTTGCAATAAAATTGTAGACCAACTTATATAAATTGAAAAATGAAAGCTGAATTAATCCATGCGTTTTGTATAGTACAGCGTGAGTTCTTTTGCAAAGACTATAGCTTTACCTTGGAGTCCTATTGACATTACTCAGTTCTGAATGGAGATTTCCGTAATCTCACAAGTTCGCTCTTTGTGAAGTCTAGGTCATTTACCTTAGAACCTACCGTTAATTGACGAATCCCTGTTCCCACTAATCGTTGAATTTGTGCAAAAAAGGAGTAAATTACTTAACTCTAGCCAGCACATCCGTATTATTAGTAGACAAGAAAGCCGCTTTCAATACAGTCATAAATCCAATTTTTATGAATGTATTTATAATATTATAAGGATTATATTTACACTGTTTATATTTCTTATTGGAAGCCATATGAATTTATCTCTGATTTGAGCTATATAGGTCGCATATCTTCGTAGTTACTTTTGCTGCAAGTCAACTAATATTTATTTGCTATATAATTATCTGTTGAGGATTATTTATATTATTTCGGGAAAATATCTAAAATTACCTCACTTTTTCGAAAATGAGGTCAAACTAACATTATGCTGCTGAAGGATACTGCGACGAAACCTAATTTCACACCATCTTGGTCTTCCTATACACGATCTAAAATCGTTAAAGTTAATCATGAATTATATCAAACTTTTTAAGTATTCCCAAAATATCTGAATTATACTAGTATTTGCATAGGCATAATCTGGAGTCTTAGAAATGATGTTTTAAAATTATTTGTATAGAGAATTTAACATACATTCTGCCAACACGCCATTGGCATCACGATAATAGCCAGACTGATATCAGCAGCCGCGAGACTGACGATAAAATAATTTGTAGCTGTGTGCAAGCTGGCATCTCTTATCACGCTGAGGACGACGAGTACGTTGCCGAATACCGTTAATGCCGGAAAAAACAACAGCATTAATGCCCAATATTGTGGTTCCTTTTGATCCTCTTCCTGAATTTGTGCCAAGTTCTGTTGACTCTGCTCAATGATAGCCTCTTCGGCACTGAGTGCATCTAATTTTTCATTTAATTCGTGTTTTAATGGAGTGTTGCTAACAGCAAACTTTGCACCAACG